ATGTTGACCAACGGCTGGCTGATTGAGGTAGGTCACAATTATCAGCAAATTTTTAGCATCTTACACGTGTCCAGGCATTTGAAATGAAAGAGAGAAACGAATTCTTCAAACAGTGACGAAATAGAAGAACCCACGAATTGTACTCGTACATGTCCGAGGCCTTCACAAAGGCTTTCATAATTTTTTTCACTCGTCGTCATTGATTTTTCACTCGTCATGGACGAGCAGACGAGTGAATTTTCTGACTCCTGTTAATTCAGCTTAACATTTATGAATAATACACATTTAAGTCTGTACTGAACTGAACGTGCTGTAGTCTTACCAGACGAGCACAGTGGTAATTATACATCGTGCTGTGCATCGGACAAATTAAATACGGTAAATAGCTTATTTAACCCAGTTCCAAAGGGATTCGTTATGGTAACTTAATATGAATGATTCCCCTTTTATAGTCCATAATGACTGTACTGCATATTAGCGCCAAGTACGATGTGTTAGCTATATTAACGCATCCATTTATATGTAATACTAATACGGTAGTAGAAAGGGCCTTGTCGAAACCCGTAACCGGGAGTTTCTGGTTACCACTGACTTTTAGAAAAACGACGGCATTTAATTTATATAATGCACTGAATGAACAGAGATGCAATCGGTGGTTCGTGAGAGAACTGCTAATCCGTACAGGCTTTAGAGGGCTGTAATAATGGTCCAGATATTGTTTTATGTGATTCATTACCGCATTCAGAATGTGTAATAACAAGTTTTAAATTTGACTCATTTATTTATGGCAATCATAGACCAAATAGCCTTACTGAACTATTACTCACACATTTTGAGTCTTCTGATACATTTGTAGTTATTTGATAAATTTTTACATACGTACACTAAAACTTTGTGTAGAGTCCTTTGCGTTTTTCTGACATATCTGCACAAAAAACTTGACATATCATAATTTTATTATGAGAATTAATATATATAAAACTTAAGTTTCAAGCAATTTAATCGACTTTTCTTGAGGGACTAAATGAACTTGTAGGAATATTGTTCGTGTTACTTTAATAGGCGAGTGCACTCCATAGCGAAGATTTTGGTTCGACTCGTTCCGGTTTGGTTTATGCAACGGGACGGCACAGAAGGTGGTTTATTGAAGATCCATTTTAATATTATCCACCAAAACCCGCCTGTGTCTCATAAATAGCCTATTCCTTTCAGGTTTTGCTGTTTAGTGTTGTACAATTTATCATCTGTCCCATCCGTACTTCATGTTCCGCCCAGCGTTGATTTTAATAATATTCATTGAATATTTATTCGCATTAATGTAATATTATTACAATGAAACTACTACATAATTCTGATATTTCGAAGCGACCGGTCTGTGCAGGAGGGCTGTTGAAGCCGGCATTCAAAACAAATTATTTATAGAGGGACAGTGGGGCTTATCCCAAGGGAAGATTTACGTTGTTGAGGGGCGGGGGGGGGTGACTGACTGACCCAGCAGGTGGCACCAGGAGGCCACGGTGAAGCTGTCCGTCTGTTTCATTCGGGTTTAATTAAATTAAACTCGTTTATCTGTTGACGTGTCCCTTCGCCCTGACAACACGTGGGGTGCTCCGATAATTTGAGGGGTGATGATTTAATAATGTTCAGTGGTATACTGCAGTTGGGAAAAAACATTTTTGCGCTGGTATTTTTTTAAGTATTTTTAAAATGACACAGACCCAAAATGAAGTCACGTTAGGTTGCATCATATGTCTTTTTAAAATGACACAGACCAAAAATGAAGTCACGTTAGGTTGCATCATTCGTAGTATGGAGGATAAAAAACAATCACTGGTACTAATATTTCCGGCTCTGTTTAATTCGGTTTGATTGCCACCTATTGGCATAATATCCGCAAAATTTGGTGGAATTTAATACCTGAACAACTAGCTTTGTTTGATGATATTCTCTTTATATATTGGTGTCACATGGCGCAGTGTGTAAAAGAGTTACTTTTGGACAACTGTTGGTATAAATTACATGTTGGTTATGATTGTTCCTTTTATTACCAAACCCTGTTTGCGCACACAGTAATTGGAAAAAAAATTACAACAAAAATAATAATATAATTCGACATAGAACAAACAAATGTAACGTTTCCACGAGAATTCAGATGGGATGAAATACAATGTTTCCGCATTTATTATGCTTAATCAGCTTTATACATTTTAACGGATTCCAGATTACCAAACGGGTTTGAAAAGCGAATTTATCCTGAATGCTGACAGCCATTCAACACGCATTCTCAGCAGTGAACTATGGATTTTTATTTACACTGGTGTAAAATATCCGTTGAAACAACGGGAAATTAGTTTGTTAATAAATCCCTTTCTCTCTTAATTCCCTCAACCCTTTAAACCCAGTGTCCCACTTGCTTTAACATTCAACAAAGCTTCATTTTGTATTTTTGCGTTTCGTAAGATTGTAAGAGTAAACAGTGATTATTTCCTTAAACAGCGTTTAGAAGTTAATGTTTGTAATAGTGAAGAGAGCCGTTTTCTTTGCGGTACGGACTGAATTGTTAAATGTTATTTAGAGGAATATATTTACATCTTATATATTTTACGGTTTATACGAAGTCCTCTTTGTAATTATTATCTTGAAACAATTTATGGTATTATTTATTAAACTTCAAGAGTTTTATGGGTGATTCGGAAATCGAATTCAGTAACAGATTGAGCGATGAAAGTGGGGCGTGGTTAACACCTCCGTGTGTGAGCATTGCCGTCGTGCCCGGAGTGAGATCCAAGGAATTCGACCAACGTCACATCTCATGACCTCCCCCCCCATACCCCCAATTCTTTGGGGCAACATACGAAACAGGAAATGTCACGTCCTCCGCTTTGACAGACGGCAAAGAGAACACTTCATACATTCCCTTTGTTTGCCAAGGGATTCTGGAAGTAATGAGCTGCAACGCTGTTGACACAATTGAAACTACGGCTGCAGCTGGTTTCCATCTAACGACGCACTGAACTGAAAGAAATTCTTTATGTTTTGCCTCGTAATAATCAATACGTATTTGATAAGTGTCTCGTGGGGTGTGGTCGTTCCTACGTGACATTTTGACAATGTGACTTAAATATAGCATCTTAGAAGCTGGACTTTTTCTCGCAGAATATAGTACAATTTAATATTTAAAAGATTAAACTTAAATTGAGACTTCGGGTTAATGTAATTGCTACATTCATGGGCGTAGATATTCCAGACGAATAATGAAATGGTATGCACAAGATGAAACCCGATAAAATTCTTGTTTTTGTACAGATCGAAGTTTGTTACATCCCGAGATTTTTTTTTTAAACTTGAAGTTTCATTTCCGTTTTGACGTGAATTCGCCTGCGATTTCCATTCATTGCCAGATTAATCCAGTCCACTTCCATGCTCTATTTCCATAAGATAAATTTTAATATTTTACTCCGATGTACGCGTGGGTTTTCTTTTCAGGTTTTTCAACAAAACATTTTTGTATATTTCTCATCTCCTCATATGTGCTACATTCCCCGCCAATCGCATCGTCTTTGATGTGAGTATCGTAATAATATTTAGTGTAGAATACAAAGTATGAAGCTCACTATGAATTTTTCTCTACTCTCCTGCCAATTCATATCTCTTGGGTCAAAATAATTCTACTCAGTATCCCATTCTCAAACACCTTCACTTTATGTTAACTTAAAGTTAATGACCAAGTTTTACACACACACACAGACCAACAGGTACATTTATAATTTATTTATTTTTTATTTTTAAGGTTTTATGTAGTAGATGGAAAAGCAAAAGTTTCTGAACTATACAGTAGCAAACATTCTCGAATTTATTCTCATATTAACTTTGTCAAATATGCAATTTTGATTTGTTAAAATGGCTTCCAATACTTCAAATATCACAATTTCGAATGATTTATATTAACTGATTTTGTCCCACAGCCTGATGATTGGGCAAAAACATGCACAATACTTGGTTTTCTCTGGGTACGCTTTATATTAAAACAGAAAACAAAACAAAAAAGCCGACATTTACGGACAACCGTTGAATTAAATGAACATTAAATTACGTCATACGTTTGTGACATCATTTTTTCGCTTTCCTTGAAATGTGCTGACACCCTGAAGTTTTATTTGACTGTTATTAAATGGTCTATGGTTCTGACGTGAGTGTTTTGAGTTATTATTATTGTGGAACTTTAGAATTAATAATGTGTTGTTCACATAAATGTGGACTGATAAAATTATATTTCATTTCAATGCTGCTATATCAGCGATTTCATGTAATAACGAAAGCCATGAATTTCAACAAAACGAAATTAGAAGCCGTAACATGAAAGTGTGATTTTTCTTTACGTTTTTGTATAGATAACCACCTACTACGTTCATATTTATTGGAAAACTGATCGTATTGCTTGTCTACACGAGACCCTTACAGGCTAAATTAATGTTTTAAAAGTCTGTACAAAAAATTTGAAACCTGTATCTTATTGTTATCTTGTCAATTTTGTGACGTAGGTGTAGTATCTAAGAAGACACAGCGTTTACATTACGGAGATAAACTGGTTATTGGATTTACTCTGTTTAAATGGGGGATGATTTTGTTTAGATAAATAATCGCTGTTTTATTCTGAGAATCCTATTATACTCTTAAAATAACTCTATGGTCAAAATGCAAGGGTAATGATTATTAATGTATGTGGTACATACATTTACCAATAGGTTTCAGACAGTTAAGCGAGCTTATACGTATCAGATCCTACTATTAAATAATCTATTTCGCATGTCTTACTGTTTTAAAAATGAAATATTACATAGACGCTCACAAGTGACTTAAGTAGTGAGTGGGTAGTTCAGTTAACATTTTATACGGTTGGCGTGAAAAAATCGAAATCAGTGTCCGTATGAAGGTTTGCGAAGCTGTAAATCTCTTAGGTGATTAAAATTAAACATAATTTCTTGATCGGGGTGACTCACCGACCCCAGGAAGACGTATCCCAATTCCAGCGCTAAAAGTTCCGCTACATCTGGGCCTCCCTCCAGGCGCACCAACCACTCATTGCTGTAATGCGGGGTTGTCTCATGGCCGTGATGTCCGTCGAGGGCCCAACACCCGACCAGCAGCAACGCCACGAGGGTCCCCGTCTTGAGTACACGCGCCTCCATCTCTGAGTTGAGCAGGGCGCTGGCTGTGGTCCAGGCCAAATAAAATCACAGCGAAAACAATTAAGCCCCTTTCCTTGGGAGCAGTTCTTGGATTGGAGACGTTGCCAACTGTGGACGCAGATTTAATACCAAAAAGAGTTAATTAAGATTTACGATTCCGCGATCCTACACCGATAGTGTGAAAAATAAAACAGAGAGAGAGAGAGAGAGCGCTTACTTTGTGCTGGATGCTTCTGTTAAATTCGGTACGTGGTTTTTTGTAGGCAGACTCTTCAGATTTTTGAAAGTGATATTTGTTTTGTTATTTTTTTTTAAAAAAATAACAAAATCATAAAATACATAGGCCCATGCAAATTCGAACTCGCGACCTTATTTAAAATTAAATTATTGCATAGATTTGAAGAGCAGTTTCAATTTTTTAAGATATAAAAGTTAATATATTTTTACATTGAATTGAAACTCGCGTGTTATTATATGACAGATCTAATTTCCATCACATCGAATACAAAACTAAGCCTTAATAAACAATAGAAAGCTGAGTTTAAAAGACATATTAAATAGCAATTCATACAATAGGATACTTACTACTACTCCATGACAACTAAAGCCCTTTTGTAGGATAAGAATACAAAATGAAGAGATCGGGGCTGTTCAGTTATATTCGATTTGGATTGGTATGAGCTTAATTCATTTGAAAATAAATAAAAGTAGCAGAAAAGTACGTACAGGCAGAGAGACAGAGAGATATATAATTACGTAAAGTGGGATGTATTTTGTGATTGGATGCTGTTGGATGGTGCGTCACTAGCTACGTGTGGCATGTGCTTTACTGATCGCTCGGAATTAGTCACTGCTTGTGCAGGTGATATTTTATTGCCTGCGAAACACTGTCAGGACGACACTTTTAAGTACTTAACGTCTAAATTAATTGCTGGCCGAGACACAACTGCCACGCTTCGACTATACTGTTGTTAGACTTGGGAGTAATCTTACTATATATATAATCTGGTAGTCGGAAATTGATACTCAGAAGTCTCACATTTTTATCATGTAATATGTGACCGAGAAATACGATAGATAAGTAACTATCGACTTTTGAAGAGTATCGATTAAATAGTAATTGAGGGGTTTCTAAGGAAAACGATAGTACCCCGAAATGCGTAATTCTTAGTTAGTGATATTATCTTACAGGTTAAACGTCGATACAAGTTGGTAATATTCCGGAAAAAATTGTATTAGTCCGGAAGAATATGACTTTAATATGCGTATCGAAATGTTTTCCTGTAGAAACGCGTTAAGTTAATTGTTTTCCGTCTTCTTTCTGTGAATTTGAACAACATACATAACTGATAAAAATTGATGATATCAAGAAAATTTCGATGAAGATAGCTGTCTTCTGGGTTGTAGCGCCGTGTTGTCTGGTAGAAGTTTTCCCCAAATTATATACGTAATGTCTGCTTCAATCATAAGGCAATATTAATAGATCTAACGTAACTCTACATTACGTAAAGTTTCAAAAACAAAGCCGGGTGTCCTACGAAAGATGCAATGTTGGGCACATGGGAAGCTTGGAATAACATCGGTCGTGATGTTAGAAAAATTATGCCAAGCGTCGTTAAGACAATCGGGAAAGCTACGAAAGATTTGCTAAGCGTTCGGACGATATTGCAAGAGACGCCGGGAAACCAACGCGCTGCAGGAACACGTGATATCAAACCAAAATAATACGATCATGCATTAACCGTCGTAAAAGTATTAAATCTCGAAAAGAAATAGTGTTCTCAGTAACAAACCTGTGTGTGTAAGTACGCCGTATTGCTTGAAGCGTCCTGACATTCAGGACAGGTAGTGTGAACAGCGCGATGTCTCAGAATCAAGTGCCGATGTATCTGGAGACAGACACTCATCTCCGCGATATGATAAGCAAACGGGAGTCCCGTGCTGCATAACAGACCGGCGTAATTCCATGCCACTAGCTCCACGTCGAAACGGGAAATAATATTTATCTTACTCGTGGCTCGTTGCTCATATATGTAACTGCTTTAAAGAATTTCAGAATAAAAAAAGTTTCTTAACTTAAGCGTAAATGGATGTTGATATTATTAAACTGGATCTTTAATAAGTGGGTTTACGGAGGTGTGAACCGAGACACATAAAGTGTAATAAAACGCACACAGGTACCGATGATATACGTCGCGACATCGCGAAGCCAGCGTCGCGACGACAATAATCCTGAAGTCAAAACGACGTTTCGAATTAATGAAAAATGAGTCTCGGGACGACATTCGTCGGGACACTAAAACACAGGACCAAGAATTTAAAAATAATTTATAGTTCAACAAAAAATTCTAGCAATTTAACCGGATATAATACAGACTAAAATAATGTTACATAAACCAACCTAACCGAACTTAAAATGACCCTCACTGCAATATACTGGCGTAATCTAAACCAGTGGTATTCAACCTTTTTTGTTCGCGTACCCCCAGATATAATTTCTCTTCAACTTTGTACCCCCAAAGTTGTTGGTGTATAATTCAAGTTATACATAGTATATAATCTACATCTAAAATAAATTAAATAAATTACATTAATGATTATTCAGTGTTTATCATTTTTTTTTAAATTTCACGTACCCCCTAAGATGTATTCGCGTACCCCCAGATATAAGGATACCACTGTTCTAAACTAACGGATCCAAACATAACATAACATAACATAACAGAACATAACGGAACACGAGTTATAAAACACAACATAAACTGAACGTTGAAACCTAACTCAGCCCAACCCAACCAAACCTTTCCTATCTTAAGGCGAACTGTACTTAACTAAACTAAACTACACTAACCTATACTGTAGTACTCTGAATTGTAGGGAACTGAACAGCTGAAGTACGCAAATTCGACGAATCTAAACTGATCTAATTTTTAACTGAATCGAACTAAATGGAACTATGCTGAACTCAACTGACTACAGAATTAAACTGAGGCAAATTGTACTGAACAAAATAAAACCGAACTAAAGTAATATCTCCTGCTTAAGAGACAGGCACAATCCTGCAGCTGTGTAATTAGGAGGTTAACGATGTTTACTCGTCACCAAGTGATATTATTATGCAAGGTTAAAATTACTGGGTATGCAACAGGCATGAGTGGAAGGACACTTGGAAGATATAGGCTCAAATAGGAGAATAATATTAAAATGAGACTTGATGAAATATGATTCGATTCTGCGGGCTGAATTCAATTCCAGTGAAAATGTTAAATTTGAGGTATAACACAAATAGAAACATTTTTTATTCAGAAGACGCAGAAATAGATGTTGTCACAAACCAACCTCATTGCATATGAGAGTTTATTCAGTGTGAGTAGGGGGGGGGGGGGGGGGGGGGGGGGGGGGGGGGGGGGGGGTTGACTTGTATCTGCATTATCGACAGGCTGTTAAAGTGAGAAGTGGCGCCTCTTAGCAGCAATCGTTCAAACTACATCAAGAAGAAGAAGAAGTATTTCCTATAATGTGGCGTCCTGAAACGGACAAGCTTGAAACACTGCTGCAAGTCTGACGAGTTTGTGATCGGTAAGCTGGCTTTAAATTTTTGAGCTCCATTATTTAAATTTTTGAGCAATGTCTTTCTCGGTGTTCTGGGTTATAACGTCCTGTTGACTTGTAGGCGGAAAACATCTTTCTGGAGGAACATATTAACTTCATTTGCAGGGTGAATGCGGAGATCAAGGCAATGTATTCCTCGAAAATATTGGTACACATCTACAAGACATGGCTTCTACCCCAAAGATGGAGGCATTGTGTTTCTCCATAACGTTGGTATCCATTTCTCAAAGAAATAGGACAGTAGTATGCGTACTGGATTTCTTGAATCGGTCGCAGGAACTCATGAACCTTCGACTTTGAAAAGTGGTCGGATAATTTTTGTTAGCAGTTCAGTGACTATGAACTTCTTCCCTATCAATTTTTGTTGAGAGACATACAGAGTGATTAAGTTATTTCAAGGCAGATCTTCTTCAGGACGAAGTGTTGGACATTCGATGAACAGATGAAAAGATAGTGTGATGGAAAGGATAAATGGCTTGCCGTTAAAAAGAAATGCTAAATTTTAGATTCTCTGTCTCTGAACTGGTGTGTAGTGGCTAACACGATCTGTGTCTGCCACTGCATCGTTAACTGAAAATAGTTTAATGCATAAAGCGATCATTGACGGCGCTACAGCGGTAAACTTAACAGAAACGATTTGCGAAGTTACATTCTTTCACACGTTCCATACGTTTTGGTTTGTTAACAGTAACTATCTATTTTTGTAATAAATTTAATTAATTTAATATTTCTTGTTTGAAGAAAACTGGGATAAATAGCCAGTACTTTTTACAGATTTTTCATAAGACGTAATTTGAGCACCGTTCACATAGACTACAGTTGAGGATTCTATAAATTAATTGGGCTTACTACTTTCTTAATCAGAACTAACCAGTGATTAATCGCTTCGAGACATATTGTGGTCTGTTAAGTTTGTGGCAGTGTTTATAACTTGAAGCTGATCGGGACACTTCGTTGTTGCGATAGAGTTTACGTAGATTTAGTTGGAAATTTCGGGTATGGGTAGTACCCATTTGTAATTAGGTCAGTAACAAAATCCCCTGTCCTACAGTCCCTGGAAATAAACAGGCCGTTTTGCCAACGTCGTTTATGTGTGAGGCTACTCCGATGTATCGTCCTGGCAATACGTTCTGTTGACCAGGGGAACGTTAGATTTTACGTTATGCTATATCCTCGCTTGCATGGGGATTAATATTGTCATTATAGCTCCTATAGTACTACCAAATATTTCATGTAGTACTATGGAACCACGAAACACTTCATTTTAATCTGACTAAACTAAGTGTAACCTAATGCAATGCAAATTTTGAAGATTTTTATATTTCATTTAAAGGTATTTTTGATCGTTTATCGATTCGAGAATAAGACGAGAGTCATAATATTTTACCACAAAGAATTTTTCTATATTTCC